TAATTAAAAAGAAGTTATATATAGTTAATATAACTTATAATAATTAAATTATTTTAAATTGTTATAACTTAAAGTAATTATATTTAAAATAACTAAATATATAAATTATATTTTTTATATTTATTTAAAATAGTTTAATAGCCAGTTATAAATAATAATATTTAAATTAAATTTATTTAATATTTTTTATTAATTAGTAATACTATTATTTATATTACTTAAATATTTAACTTAGCTTATTTACTAATATAAACTAAAATCTAAATTTATCCTTTAGAAATTTTAACCTATATTAACCTATAGGTTTACGGTTTATTATAAATATATATATATGTAAGCTTAAATAATAAAGTTTAAATATAATATAAAAACTTTAAATTATAATTTAATAATTTAATTAAAGTAAAAAAGTTAATTATTTTTTAAATAATAAAAAGTAATAATAATTTTTAAAAATAAATTATTACTATTTTTCAAAACTTAATAAAATAATATAATATAAAAGTAAAGAATTTTTATAATAATTATAAAACAATTTAATAATTAATTAAAAATTTAATATATAAATAGTTAAAATAACTAAAGGTAATAAGAAACTATTTATAATTATAATAAAAATAATATTATTATAAACTATTAGAAACTAAAATTAATTTATATAAATATATAAGAAAAGTAAATTCTTTAACTAAATAAATGAATAATAAATAATTTAAAATAAAAGTATTTTAAATTTTAAGGGATTATATAAATTTATACAAAAATCTTTTTTAATAAATATTTTATAATTTAAATATTTATTTATAAATAAAAGGAATATTTATTTATAAATAAAAGGAATATTTATTTATAAATAAAAGGAATATTTATATATAAATATAAATCAAATAAAATAAATATATAATTGAAATTAAAAGTTTATTGTTTTTATTAATAATATTTTTAAAATTATTATTATTAGTATATCTATTTTAGAAAAGTTAAAGTTATTAGTAAATTATAAGTATAATATATATTAATACTATACTCTGTTGCGCTTTTGCTGCTAGAAAGATCCTCGCTCTCTAACATAGAAACACCTTCCAGTCATTTCGGGCCAGCATAGCCTTCATCCTCGGCGTTGTGGTCACTCAGCCCACCTATGCCATCTCGGATGTGGTGGGCCGCAAATTTGTTCTCTACGCCGCTATCATCCTCTTCACCACCGGATCCGTTGTCTTTACTAGCGTGAAAAGAATGAGCGCTATTGTTGTCGGCCGGCTGATCAAAGGCTCTGGTGCTAACGGCCTAGCCGTCTTGCAGATCATTATACTCTGCAATATCACAACCATGAAGGAGCGGCCCCGCTGTATGGGAGCTATGTCCATGGCAAATGCGGTGGGAACTGTAACAGGGCCGTTCATTGGGGGTGCATTCACCTAGAAGATTGGGCGGCCACGGCTTGGCTGGATCAATATGATTACAACAGGCCTTACCAGTGTGCTGGCAGTCTTCTTGCTTTTAATTGAAACCCATCGAGGGCACCATCAAATACAATATGAGAAAGCTTGGCTGGTCGGAATTTACCTCTTCACAACGAATGAGACTGCTCTAGCGCTGCCGCTGGTTAGGCCAACACGCTGTATACTTGAGGATCTTGGCAGACACTTGTTCCACTCATTATTGGGCTATTCCTACTCGTACCGTTTGTGTTTCTTGAAAAGAGGGCGGCAGCACCCATGATTCCGCATCAAATCTTCGATAAAGTCTCCATCATAAAAGCCATTGTGTCCGGATTCCTCTACGGTTCTTTGCTGAACTCTATGATTCTTTTTCTACTGCTCCTCTTCTAGGCGGTATACCTTGAAACTCCTATCGAAGCCGCCAGATTGACTCTACCACTCTGCTGCATACTCGTGGCAACGAGCAACACTATGGTGATGCTGATAGATTAGAGTTGAAAGTATTAAATTGCTCTGTGGGCAGGCATCCTCACAACAATCTTCCTGGGCCTGAACTACACTGTGGGCGTTGATTCCAGTAGAGCTCACGCTTATTTCTTTCAAACCTTCCTTGCTGATGGCTTGGGAACGGTGCCAGTGGAAACCATCATAATGGTCTTGCCGAGTGTGAGAAGGGTCGGCCATAAGGGACTCGCGTCCGGGATGGTTGTCACTGCGCATTTTGTAGGCTCCCTGCTAGGCTTGGCCTTCTATTCTACTGTCTTCAGCTCGATGTTTAGAAAGGGGCTCTTCTCGCCCAAAGACCTACTTGAGCAACTTGCAGTACTAGAAGACACAAACCAAGTTATGAGTTTTATACCACGGCTGAGGGAGATCCAAATGTGAGGATATCATGCGCGTCGTAACGGCGGCGTATGAGGGTGCTTTCTAGACGACCTGGGTGGTATTGGCGGCCTTTTCGGGTTTGGCAGCGCTGCTCTCTATGCTAATAAGATAGAACTCTTTGGAGAAAGACGATGTCGGTCGGCAGTGGTTCCAAGTCTCGTCGTCAGAGTAGCTCATCATAGGTAGCAATAGATACTATTGAATCTCTCCTTGAAAAGATATTACTTGATCACCTAATATCTTGGGTTTTCATTTTTATGCCCACGACTCATAATGTCTTGTATATCATGTTTTATGTTCCTCCAGATGAGTAAACAAACTTAGTTGAGACCTTACCTGCTGGTCAGTCCTCCAATATCGCATATCGGGAGTACAGTGACCCAACTTTTTAGATCAATTCCAATATGTACTAACTATCCTGTATAGTCTGAAGTGGTCAAGATAGATTGCCTTTGAATACAATCGAGATATTAACCAACAGTGTCCCTTTCAAAAAGCTCACATTGGTCTTCGTGTCAAGATTTCGGGCCAAAGGTGAGCCTAATTATCCGTGCGCTCTTCGGGAGGGCCGGTAAAGCAACCCAGACTGGGTAGCCTGTATGCAGACAGAAGATGAGAATGTGGAAGGCTATATGTCCTGTCGTCCCGGTCGAAAATAAAACGTCTTAAGCCATCTAGTTTCATGTAATGAAGCTTGACTGTGTTTAAAGACAATATTCAATACATCTTGCTCTTTAACTTACCAATAAAGTTTGAATTACCAATGATTATGCGAGTGTTTCTCTCTTTTCCTAATTTCTTCTCTTTTGTTTATATCTGACTGTAATCTAGTGAGCAGTGTCTAGTAGTACTGTCCGATTAGCTGAAAGTATGAGGAAGTAGTTTTAGCTCTGCCTTGCATATAACCCTTCCCATTGCATAAATAATGCTCGAGATGCAAACACGGCTGCAATGTCGACGGTAACATTAGGTTATCCCTATTTTTCTACTTTCTTTTAGTGTGCTCGTATCGCCTTATCCTTATTTATACTGGCTAACAAGTTCTATGATGTTTGAGAAAGTTGTGCCGAAGCCACCAACTGCCCCAAGAGTTAAATCACCCCCTTTGGCAAGCAACGAGTTAGCATTATGCTTAGGTAGCAGTATGCTCAAGTAGCAGCTTAATGATTTTCGATCGGCCGTGCATGATGGCCCGCTGCAAATGTATGAAGCCGTCGCTATCTTTTTCACCAATCACGATCCTTTGGTCTTGTAATAGCAATTTGATGGTATCTACATGATTTGATTCCCCAAAACCGCCATGTGAAGCGATGATGCTAATTGTCGACTTTTATTGACTAATTAAGCTGTATCAAAGATGAAATCATCGGTTATGGTTGATAGACCAGCTGGACTTAGTAATAGCATGTCATCGATTTGAGTACGTCTTCCAACGGTTGACATGGTGCGGGTGTTGGGTGTGTTTTAGCAGTCCTCTGGCTGTTAGTTGGTGTCCAACATTCCATCCGGTGCCGCGTAGCTAAAGTCATAGTTGCAAGTCCTCCTCCCTGTTAACCGAACGCAAGATAAGCGGCGAGTGTATGCTTGCGGAAGAGGCCGGAACAGCGTCTGGCACTTCATTTCTGGGACTAAGCCCTTCCAGCTGCGTGCTGTCCGGTTAGCGATAATATAATAAAAAGGGTTGTAGGGTTGCCGACACCTATTCAACCTGTAGCTGCGTTCTGTCCCCTTAAAATATTCTAACATGACTTTAACATCTGGCTACTATATCAGTGCCGTATCACTAACCATGAGAGGACGGCAGTTGAGAGTCGTGTCCGACTGGCCTATTATGACCTCCATCTATGGAATCAGGATAAGATTGGTAATATTGAACTTATAAATGACATCTCCGAATTCAGACCCACTAAATTACAGTAATGATTGGTTGCTCGTTTGTGACGATCGTTGATCGACAGGTGGATAACATCCTTTTTTTAAGCGAACGTTTCGTAGCATCGCCAGCCTCCCTTCCCTCTTGAATAACTATCAAACTGTGTATATTACTATTCCGTAGTGCTGGTTTCAATGTGTTGTGAATGAGTGGTTCTATTCCGCTTAGCTTCTGTGACACAGTTTTCCTTGCAAAGAATTATGCGTTTTCTCAATTTTCTACTATCAAAGATAATGGGGTGCGTTTGCTGTCGCCTGGGGGCGATCAGCCGCCCCCATGCCAGCTTTGCGAGGCACAGCCTCCAGAAACTCTTCAGTCCTCGGTTCACCATGCTGAAAACCGGATGGCGCTCACGATGAGGAGTGTCTGTTGGGCGGGGAGGTGATGTCGCGTGCCTGCAAGTCTGGCCGATGTGGATTTCAATTGCTGCAAGTTTGGTCGATAGTATTGGCTGTTGAACGATTTTGCCGGGGGTCCCAGTTCGCAATTTGTCAAATAAGTGGAATCTCAATAAAATTGTTGGCTGAGCCGCCTCTTAGCTTGGGAAGGATTCACACTTGTTTCACATGGCGACTTTGAATGAGCTGAGCACTTAAAATAGATGACTTAGGTCAAAGACACAGAGTATTTCCGGAGTTTGTCTTTCCGCGTCATTTTGTTTTCCAAGACCAAAGGAAAAAAAAAATCCTATTACTTTTTGCAGTCGCAGTCGGAACATGGCGTTGGCGGGGACATTGTTTCTCTTATCTTCATTTGCCACGCTGACTCTTGCAGCCAACTGCAATCCTGGATTGGATTACTGTGGCTTCAATTTGTTGGGGATTGGTAAGTGACTCGCTCCATTTCTACCTAACTCGTGTTTAACAGTCGCGAACTTCAGGAAACTATCAGCCCCAAATCAACGATGCGCTTGAGAAGGCATCTCTCGACCCAAGCAATAAAGGTGTATCAACTAACACACTCTTCCATTGTGTTGGCGGATACAATGGCGACATAGTGGTCATCAAGTTCTGCACAAACAGGTGCATAGATGGCGGATCCGGCAAAAGTGATTTTTGCAACGAAGTTTCCTCTGTTGAGCCAACAAATTCATCGACCGCTTCGACTCCGACTTTCTCGCAAACGAGTGGCACAACATCTTCAACAGCTACACAATCCACTACAGCGTCATCCGCTGACTTGTCCGGCACCTCTGCTACAAGTACAGCCCCCACACCCTCAACAGATAATAATTCCTCTGGAAACACTCCTGTGGGAGCAATTGCCGGTGGAGTAGTTGGCGGCGTGGTTGGTCTTGCACTGATAGGGTTGGGCCTGTTCTTATTCTTCAAAAGATCTAGACAGCGACAGAAATCACTGGACCAGAGCATGCCAGAGTTGAAGTCGATTCAAGAAGAATTACCAAAGGGCTTCAACGGCGCTCATCCGATCCTTCAAGGCGGAACAGTTCTCGAGGCTCCTGGAGATGTGGCGAGCCATAGATATGAACTATCTGGGGCACCCGCAAACACCACGGAAACGAGATATGAGCTCATTTAGTATATATGACTACTAGTCTGACACGAACTTGACTTGTTTACTGACATTCCTTCTCTGTAGCCTTTGTGATATTTAGAAATAATACCGTTAGACTAATCAATGCTATATTTATTCCTTGGGCTCAGTTGGTGCAATCCAGTAATAATAGCGGCGTTGGCGCATTTGTGAATATCTCTAAAAGCCATAGGGACCCTATTTATAGAGATAATGAAGGCCCGCTATAGAGATCATATTATCCGAGAGTAGCTCTTCTTGTGTCTTCACATCTGCTAACTATCTCGATATGGCAGATTTCTGCTTCCAGTATAATTCGGAATTCGAATGCATAGAGTGAATAATGTTTTTAGGGTCTGTTTAACGAGCAATTCTATATTACATTATGTTGTATATTATAGCACATAATATGATACCCGCTGTTGTATGTCTGATCTATATGTCGAAAGCAATCTCAAAGCCTTTTTTTCTTTTTTCATAAGCATTCACTTATTCATTAACCCATATTCAATCGCTTAATTTATAAAATATGCTCTTTAACTTCAGATTTTAGTGTATATAACGTATAATATTACTGAGCTATAATAAAGGTTAATATAGAATACATCAATACATACAAATATACAGTAATTCTAAGCGTTAGGCTTTTAAACACTTTTTAACTTATGTTTAATTTTACTATAGTAGAATTTTACAAAAGAGCAGCAGCACAAAAAACAGCTATCAATATAGCAGGCTCAACACGCCCAGCAGCAGCAGTAAAAGAAGGATAAGGATTGTTTGTAGTGCCGTTAGGGTATCCTCCTACACAGTCATAGCAGATAGTAGTGGTAGGCTTACTGGTTGAGGCTATGACACTGGTGGTTATACAGGCAGTAGGCACACTAAAGCTATCCTTGAAAGGGGTGAATCCCAAGCAGCTGGCGTATTGAGCACTGCAGAAGGACTGGTTGGCATTAGGAGTAGTCTTGCATGCTACCCAGAGATCGGTGCACTTCTTTGCACAAGGATCCTGAGCAGGCTGTAGAGGAGGCGTAGAGCAGTCAAAGCAGGTTGTGCTGGTGGGTTTGACAGTAGGAGCAGAGCAGTCGAAGCAGATAGTGCTGGTGGGCTCGGCGGTGGGAGCAGAGCAGTCGAAGCAGATAGTGCTGGTGGGCTCGGCGGTGGGAGCAGAGCAGTCGAAGCAGATAGTGCTGGTGGGCTCGGCGGTGGGAGCAGAGCAGTCGAAGCAGATAGTGCTGGTGGGCTTGACAGTAGGAGCAGAGCAGTCGAAGCAGATAGTGCTAGTGGGCTCAGCAGTAGGAGCAGAGCAGTCGAAGCAGATAGTGCTAGTGGGCTCAGCAGTAGAACTGGAACAGGCAGTGGGCTTAATGTAGCCGTTGCTGAAGGGGCTAAAGCCCAGACAGCTGGTATAATCAGAGCTGCAGAAGGACTGGTTTGCATTGAGAGCGGCCTTGCAAGCTTCCCACTTGGTGGTGCACTTGTTTGCACATTCTTTGGAGCCGTTGGTAGCGATGGCAGTACCAACAACGGCGGCGACAATAAAAAAGCGCATTTTGAGCTGAATGTTGATATTCCGGAATTAAATCGAGAGTATAAACGGCAAATTTTTGAATAGATCAGACAAGAGAGCACTCTTAAACGAAAGTCGAACTTAGTGCAAATAAAAGCCGTGAGTCTAAAAAGGATGCTCTTAAGTACTTTGATATGTTGAGCAGCGCTTGGCTGTTCTTATATATGCAAATATTAATTATCGGACTTTACCGTTGCCCCCTTTGTCTACCCTATGTCTCTCCTAACTACTCTGCAACGCTCCCCTGTCTGTCGTATATGCAGCCTACGTTTGCATACTACCCCAAAACCTAATATGGTCAGCTGATACGGAGTAGGCTTGATAGCATTAGGCTTGTGAAGAGTAGGTAATTCCGAATTTGAACATAGCCTCTCGCAGTGCCTTTAAGCCCATCCAGGCACGTTAATTACCCTCTCTAGCTAAACTAGTATATGATATCATATAAGGAAGAATATAATATAAGGAAGCGGATCCCAAGACCTCGTATTCCACTTTGCCGCTGTTCGGGAACTAACGTTTAGCCTACTGCTTAAGCATAAGGGCGAGGAAAACATGTTTTTTCCTTTATTTACAATGCAAAAGCCTCTTACAGAAGTAATTGTCGTAGCCAGATTCAATAATGAGCAAGATTTGTAATTGCTATACCTACGATGATTTTCACAGTTATACTCTTCTGACTTGCGGAATGGAACCCTATGTCTTCTAGAATCGCAAGCATCATAAACATGTCCGGGGCCAGACGGCTATTCGTCCACACAACTACTAGCCATCTGAACACCCACATTAACCCCTTGCTTCAATGGGCTCAAGAAATGGAATAGCGCCTGGGTTGCCATGTTTTAGCGTCGCCACTATCTTCTGGCAACATAAAGAGAAGGGTGGAGACATAACCTTCCATAACTGCAAACATTTCAATTGCTGTTGCTCCAAACAAGAAGCCCATTGCGTCCAACAAAAAGGCTTGTTAGAACGCTATTATGTCATGTACCGCAAATCTCGTAACTCCCTTATCCAGCAGAGAATCTATTAGGGGTCAACTGGTACTTCATGAATCAAGGGTTCTGAGATTAATCACTCAAAGTTTCACTAACCATAAAGCTCAACATTTTCAGGCTTTCGTTTATCGTATCGCCTAAATTATAACCCCAAATTGGATCTCGTATTGGAATTGACCCTAGTTTAAAAGGTACAAACCGATGTAAGTGAATTCTAGTCGCCTTAAACATGTAAATAGGAAAGGTAGTGGCGTTCTAATATAAGTACGATATGAGAGCAGACATATAATAAGTAGAATACTATAGCTTGTGTTACAAAGTAGGTTGAATAGTTGTTGCCATTTAATTGTGATGGCAATAAGTTGCACTGGCGTTTAACCGAATGCAAAATCCACCAAGACAAGATATCTCGTTCCAAGTGGATCCCTAGGGGCTGGGATTGAGTTGTTCCAAAGGGCCCCTGCTATAGCCTATCAACATTGGTCGTATTTTAACGGCTAACACTGTTTCGCCGTTCCGGGTATTCGTTGAAAGCTTAATGCAAGTCCGCTCAGTCAGAGTTCGGAATCGTTGGACCTAACGAAGCAACTATGAAAATTAAGGAAATAAGCACCGCAGATGGACTACCCCATAGTATGTGCTAATAATGACTCTTCTGCAACTCGATGAACGGATACAACCGTTGTTGATAAATACCTACTTGGTTTTATTTGTATATAACACTTGTGACCTCCGCCCTGTATTACATTGATGGATTTGACAATACTAGTAGATTTCAAGACGTAGCAGGGCCTTCCAAGAGAAATCCCAACTCTTTACTGAAAGTGTCCGCCAGCTCATTGAACATCATTTCATTAGGCAATCTATTAATATTATTACTGACTATAATAAGAAAAGGGCAGCTACCTTTAATAACATATTCCCAAGAATTCATTGATACCTCAGTATCCATTATGTTCACCCAAATATCTTAAGCAATACAAAGTCCAGGCAGACAAATCATTGATACCGTAGAAGCAGCTCTAATAGTAATTCGCATCTTCGGACTCCATTGGGACCCGACGAAGGGCTCCTATCTACGAAAATATTATATAAAATAGAATTAAATATATGTCATATATGGAGCGGATTTACCAGCAAAAGTTTCAACAGGAGTTTACTCAAAACTACCGCAAGCAGGATTATATTCTATAATGTATGCTTTTTAAACTTAATCTTTTGGCCCTAAGCTTAAAAAAAAGCCCGAGAATAAATTCACAGAACCCTTTTGCCTAGGGAATAATTTTTCAGCTTTAGCTGTGACCAGAAAGGGGCGGCGATGGTAGTATATTAATAGAAGGCATAGTTTAAAGTGGATTGTAGAACGAATTTTTTTTCAAGACAGAATCTAATAATGTTTGCCTTCTGGAAATCATTATTATACTACATAGCGTTATTTCTATCTCTTTCAGAAAGGGCTATAGAAATATCACTGGCCATGGGGCGATGAAGCTATTGAGAGTGAGCTCAAAGTTCGGGTACTTCAGCTTGGTGGAATGGATAGAGTGGAATTTGGATGATTATTATTATTCTTAGTCTCGTTTTATTAGTAGTACTTTTGCGACTGAATTTGGTAGGATACGTAACTTATCTGTTGGGTTAAAGGATCGCCTTGGAGCGGGGGAATCTGAGGGAATAGTCTCGCTATTACTTACTTTCGATAATGTCGATGTGCCTCTTCTGTACACTGACGGAGACTAAGTAGAGTCATCATTATCCTTCACCTTATTTGGCATCAAGACATTCTCTCTTTGCCCTATGAAAGGTCGTAATCGCGTGACAGGGCGTTTATTCACCTCAGATGTCCGGCCGAGGTAAGATTTGCATCCAGCTCTCAAAGCCTAATCTTACGGCTGAAACATCACATCATCAGCACTAACATCGGATAAGCTTTATCTCTTCGGAATAGTAAGCATACGTAACAGTAATATCTTAGTGAGAATGTCTGCGCAGATATAAGGTACCACGGGAGACTTCCATTTGATTCCTAAACCAAGCTTAACTACATTACAAAGCGTCGAATTCCTGGTAAACCTTTACGACTTACTTCAGAATATTTCGTAATTATGCGGTTCACAAACCCATTGGCGAAAGATCCGCAAGCCTCTGATCCCGTTGACCGAGACTACTATCTACGCAAGCAAAAGCCGCTCCCGTCGGATCCAGTCACACATTCTCTAATCCAGGTTGTGTTACGAGATGGATATGTAGTCATTCCCAACGCCTTTACAGAGGCAGAGGCCCTTGAAGCAAAGGCAGAGATTGATCGGCTTCATGGCCAGAGCCCACGCATTGGCCGCGATTCATTTGACGGGTTTAAGACGAACCGTATCTTCGCCTTACTGAACAAAACGCGCGTGTTTGACAAGTTTTGCCTGATACCCCAAGTCCACGCACTAAACGAGTTCTTCCTGGACGACGATTACCTTATTTATATTATGGAAACAATTACTATCAATCCGGGTGAGAAGGCCCAGGTGCTTCATTACGATGACGGTGTCATTCGGCTGCCGAGACCGCGACCTCCTGTCACGGCTGCTACGATGATTGTGTTGGATGACTACACTAAGATAAATGGCGCCACAAGAATTATTCCCGGAAGCCATCTCTGGGGCAGCGACAGGTTGGGCGAGGAGCCAGAAGCCAAGTCAGTGGTCTGCCCGAGGGGCAGTGTAATTTATTTCCTCGGCACGACATGGCACTCTGGCGGAGCAAACAGGAGCGGCAATCCACGATATGCTGCAACGATTCAATACTGCCAGCCCTATATTCGGCCTTTGGAGAACTTAATGCTCGCGGTGGACCCCAGAAAGGCACTATCGGGAGAGATTCCGAGGAAGATCGTCGATATGATGGGTTATCGCAGTGCTGTTCCTTTCGTGGGCTATGGTAAGATCCCTTCAATGGAGAGGTGTTGTCCCTCACGAGTCACAGAGAGCAGATGCTAACAACGGGTAATTAAAGCCGATGGTCTGAACCCCAGAAAAGCTACAAATCGGTTGATTCGGTGGTTACAGGGTCCTGTGGACTATAATCCTCCTACCTTTGCCAAAGAATCTGGCGAGAAGGAAAAGAGAATCCTGAGCAAGCTGTGAAGCCTGTAATAAGTCCTCAGCAGAAACAGCTGCGTCTGCTTGTCTGATCCTAAAAAAACTGGACAGGTCAGCCTGACTGTACACTTATTGCAATCAGCCGAACTCCAGCCGAACTCCAGCCGCAAGTATCTTGCAACAACGGGTTGACCGCTGGCTTACATTATGGTTTGTCCGCTTCTGTTTAGGTTGGTCGGCCTCCTATGTCAGCTTATGTTAGACCGCGGGTGCGGGCGTCTCAGGGCTGACTTATTGCATAATGCTTTGCTATGTTAACCCTGTTGATTGGCTTGAACTTTAATTGTAAAACTAAGTAGAAAGAAGTCTTTGTAGTTCCACTTGGCTGTTTTCATAATTGACCTCAGGTGCTTAAAAAGTCTCGGGCTGTCTTTAATTGGATTACTGAGGCTGCGAAGCATATGAAACAAGCAGTTGTGTCTCCACCCAAAAGCTACGGTTGTGCCGCGTATATGGGGAGAGCGCGTGTACTATGCCGAATTATTTGCTTTTTTGTTATGTATGTAGCTTCTTATTAGGTGTACTTTTAAATTCCATCGTGTCGGCCCATGGCGGTGGTGATAGAGTGCCGGTGATGCATATGGTGTGGCCTTGCTGAGACTGCTAGGATCCCTTGTGTAATAGCTTGGGTTCGAGACAAGAACAATCAATTAAGGAATATGGATACTGGTATGAAAAGGAAATAATGACTAGGATACCGAAGTGTAAGATTGGAACGTGAGCTTGCAGAAACGCTATTTTGCAAGTGTTAGTGATGATATCATGGAACCTATTTCCTTGAGAGACTGTCATGCTCCATACTGCTCGAATTTCTGGTGCATTTCTTTAACTACCTCTGGTGTGGACGGACGCCGGTTTCATGGGCCGTAAAGGGCGGCCACATTGGTATTGTCAGACAACTGATCGGGAAAGATGCGTTTGGTCGGACGCCGCCACTTGAATGCTGCTCAAGAAGGGTTCCGCCGTCAAGGCCAGGCTTTCGCGTGTTCAGACACCGCTACTCTGGCCAAGATCTGGATTGTTTCGTCCCTAATGCTCTCTGGATTGGGAAAGTCCTTTAACTGGCTGGTTTGTGGGCCCGGGCTATCTGGGGAGAGATTCCTGCTTTAGATTCAAAGCAGCCCCCAGGTCTCCCCCTTGTGCGTTGACGCCGGCATTTTTATCGATCAGAAGCTGTGCGTGCCATCGTCTCGTGCCTCGCGGCCAACGCAACCTCGAGCGCATCGCCGAAATATTCGCTTGTGAGACTCTTCCCCTTCTTTTTCTTTTGAAACGCGGCCAGACTTGGTCTGTATTTTTCGAGTTAGCGCGAGCAGTTTGCAGTTCTGATGAAGCATGAGGAGACCTGTCTGCTCGAGGAAGATGGTGCGTAGAAGATCTATAGCTTTTATGCTAGAGAGTCCAGTAATGGCTAATAGCTGTTACTAAAATTCCTAAAACACAGCATTCCACATGAGTGGTTAGGGCGGATCCATGGAGGACATGACAAATATCATGTGCACGCCTAGTGCAGCATTCAGCTATCTATCTGTTCTCACCCGCAACTGTATGAACCACATCTTCAATTGTAGCAGGAGAAGCTATTGAGGTCTAGGGAAGAGTTATGCTTAAATTCATGTTATGGGTAATGCCACTCGGACGCAATGACAGCGCCACACCATACATGTCCCAGTATGAGGCCGAAATGGACCATCACCAATGACTTAGTTTATACTAGCTTAACTCATGCGATACAACTAATTATCCACTATGCATGCCATAGGGGCAATCGTATGGGATATTTCTATCTACATTCTTCGCTTTGCGTAAGATTCCTAAAGAAGATCATTCCATTCACATACTACAGGTAGGGTAACAAAAGTGTCGATGCACTATAACGTCCTAATCCCTATTCCTAATATAGGGTAAAAGTTCCCAAGGTAATAAGCCTAGGTTATAGGTTTATATTAGCAGAGAGGATAGAAAGTAGCTTTTAAGCAGTTATAATTATAAATACGTAAAAGTAAAATAAAAGGTTAAACTTATATTTAGTTTTAATACTTTATTAATAACTAATTATTTAAATTATTTAAATAATTATAATAAAGTAAACTTATATATTTAATTATTCCTTTATTTTTATTTAAATATATATTATTATATTTATAAAAATAAAATTATTTTTATAATCTTTATAATATATATTTACGTAAAAAAAAAGAGCTAAGCTTTTATTAATTATATTTACTTATAGTTTTACTATAATATATACTTTATTAATTTAAGCTATAATATAATACCCCCTTTTATTAATTTTATCTTTAAGACCTATATATAAAGTATTATTTAATTTTATAATAGTTTAATTTTATAAATCTTTTTTTCCTTTATATTTATTATACCTAAAGGTATTATTAAGCAGTATTTTTTTAATTTAAAAAGTAAATTAAATTATTATAATACAGTAGTTTTAGTAATTAAAACTATTAAATTTTTTATTATATTTTATTTTTACTATAAGGTTAATAAACTATTTTATAAAATAATAGTTAGTTATTTAAAGTATAAAAAGTATATTTATTATAATTATATTTATAATAAAAATAAGATTTTATTAATTAATAGTAAGTAATTTTTTAATATTTTTTTTTATAGTATTTATATTAATTCTATAATATAATATTTAATTATTAAAAAAAATATATATAAATATAAAAAAACATTAAATAAAGTAAAAATTATTATAATAATAGTAATAAATAATATTATTAAATTAATAAATAAATAAAAAGCTTACTTAATTAACTTAGTTAAAAAAGTAGTATAAATAAATTAATATTTATAAAAAATAAATACTTTATAAAAGTACTTATTTTTTAAATAAATTAAATAAAATAAAATAAGCTAAATTAAAAGCAGTTATTAATATATAATCTTTTAGTAGAGTTAATATAATTAATTAAAATATAATTTTTAATAATATAACCTAAGTTTTTAATAAAACTTTTTTATTAATACCTAAAAGTTAAAGCTTTTAATAAATTCTTAAGTATTATAGATAAATCTATAATTTTCCTATTAAATTAAATATTTAATTTTATTATTATATTTTAGGTTTTAGTATATAATAAATACTTCTTTTATATTTTAATCTTTTTCTTTTTTAAATACTATAATTTTATTTAAAATTAATTTTCTTATTTTCTTATTAATTTATATTTTTTTTAATAGTAATATATAAAATATTAAATATTTTAGTTTTATATTTTTAAATATTTTAAATTTATAATTAATTTTTTTAATTTTTTTTAAAATCTTAAATAGTTTAATTTTTTTAAAGTTTAATTTATTATTTAGTTAGTTTATTTTAATATTTAGTATTTTATAACCTTATAAATATTAAATTAAGTAAATTATATTCCCTTTTTAAAAGTTTAATTTTTTAATTTTATTTTAATTTATATAATATTTTATATAATCTTATATAAGTTTAAGCTAAGTATATAATTTTTTATATAAATTAACTATAAATTTTATTTATATTTATATTTTATTAATATTTAATCTTTTAAAAGGGGGTCTATATATTAAAAGTATATATTTATAAAATATATAAAATAATATTAATTTAATAAATTTAAATTTTATACTATTATAGTAAAGCTAAGTAAAAGGTAATTTTTTAACTTAATTATTTTATTTAAAGTTAATATAATATTATAAATATTATTTAATA